ATAGTAGTCTGGGCTGGCATCCTTGTTCCCTTAGCGTTTGTAGGACATCTGTCCAGGATCTTCTGGCTTTCATCGTTTCCATTGAGAAGTCAGGTGTAATTCGGATAGGTCTGCCTTTGTATGTTACTTGGCCTTTTTCTTTAGCTGCTCTTAATATTTTCTCTTTACTCTGTAGGTTTGATGTTTTGATTATTATATGGCGAGGTGACTTCTTTTTCTGGTCGAGCCTATTTGGTGTTCTGTAAGATTCTTGTACTTTCATAGGCATATCTTTCTTTAGGTTAGGGAAGTTTTCTTCTATGATTTTGTTGAATATGTTTTCTGTACCTTTAAGTTGAATTTCTTCACCTTCTTCTATACCTATTATTCTCAGGTTTGGCTTCTTCACGGTGTCCCATATTTCCTGGATATTTTGTGTTAAGGATTTGTTGGTTTTGAGATTTTCTTTGGTTGACGACTCTATATCCTCTAATGAGTCTTCAACACCTGAGATTCTCTCTTCTATCTCTTGTATTCTGTTGGTGATACTTGCATCTGTAGTTCCTGATCGCTTACCCAGCTTTTCTATTTCCAGCATCCCTTCATTCTGTGTTTTCTTTATCGTTTCTATTTCAGCTTTCAATCCTTCAACTGTTTGAGTTGTTTCCTTCATTTTTTGGTTGTTCTTTCTTGGTGCTCTTTAGATTCTTTGAGAGATTTGTTTATTTCTTGAATTTTTCCCCCATTTCATGGATTTTTTTGTTTGTTTTTTCTTCTATTTCTTTAAGGGATTTCCTCGTTTCCTCTTTGAGGGTCTCCATCATCTTCATGAAATAATTTTTAAGGTCTGTCTCCTCTTCTTCGTCTATGTAGTGCTTTTCGGTTCTTGCTGGTGTTGGATCCCTGGATTCTGGTGGGGTCATGTTGGTGTTTCTATTGCTGAGTGATCTCTTATTCTGTCTTCTTCCCATCTCTTCTTTCAGTGGGTGCTGGTGGGGTCTTTCCGTCTCCACTGGTCTCCTTCCTTCCTACAGCTGAAGCTGGGGATGCTGAAGCTGGACTCGCTGGGGTTGGGGTCTTGGAGGGGCTGATGTCTTTCCTGAAGCTGGACTAGCTGGCGTTTGGGTCTTGGAGGGGCTGATGTCTTTCCTGTGTGGGCGGGTCTTCTCCCAGTTGTGTCTTTAAACATGTGTTTTCCATTATAGTAGAATGCTCTTAATATCTATGTCATAAAATTAAGCTACATTATTTCCAACGATTTAAAAAGATTAATAAAGCAGACTGAGCAAGTAATGATGAGCAAGCCAGTAAGTAGCACTCCTCCCATCAGCTCCTGCCTTCAGCTCCTGCCTTGAGTTCCTGTCCTGACTCCCTTTAGTGATGGATATGATTTGGAAGTATGAGCCAAAAACCCCTTTCCTCCTCATCTTGCTTTTGGTCATAGTGTTTCATCACAGCAATAGTACCCCTAAATAGGACAATAACATAAATTGTATACAGTGATAAACTGGTTTGGTTCCAATTACTTATAATTGCCTTTATTGTGTAACAAACCCACAGATTTGACTTTTCAGTGCGTCTTTTATGACAGTGTTTTAGGTGTCTTTGAAAGATCTTAAATATTACTTAATGGTCATTTTATATGCTATTAAAAATTAAGGATTTTTTGACTCACTGCAAATTTTCCTATAACAGCTGTTATTTTGCTATATTGCCAATAAAATAATTATCTGACATGTAGTTAATTCAAGGCATTTGAGTATTTCCTGGGGATAGCTTCTAAACATTTCAGAGCTTTGGCCTCTAAAGTAAATCACAGGCTCCACACTGTACTAGCAATGTAAAAGCAGGTTATTTCTTAGAGTACCCAAAGAGGATGTTCTAAAGTAACATCTTTTCCAAGTAGAGAGAATTTGGGAGGCATGGATGTCTACAGCTGCTAGCATTGTAGAATTAAGGGTTAATAACTCTAAGAAAATTAGCCTTGACCTGAACAGTGAGAAGGAAGAGTGTTCGCCACTTAGCTGCTAACCCTTTCTTGCACCTGCAAATGTTTTTCACATGAAATCTGTGATCTTTGGATTTGCTTTTGTTTCCCACCTACATGCACGCTACCTCAACAGGTTTTATAAATTTCCTGCTCAATATTGAATACAAAATTAGGCAAAGAAAGTGAGTGCAGAATTCCTAGCTTTAATGACTATTTCCAGGGATCTCTGAAACAGATGGAGGAGCTACACAGTGTGTCCAAGTTCCTCTCCTTGTCTGCATTACTGTGCCTCTTGAAAAGAAGGCTCAGGTGTTTACAGGGGGAAAGGAGCAGGAGAAAACATTACTCTGAAAGAGTAGTTAAAACTCAAAAGTGTGCAACTCACTACTTTTTAAGGTATCTGCAACCATCACCAGTTTTGGAACATTTTTGTACGCTTTAACTTTACCTGTCTGCCTGCTTACCAGCCCTAAGAAACCACCGTTGGGTTTGTCTCTATGGATAGAGCCATTCTGGACATTCTACCATGAAAGGAACAGCTTTTGTATTTTATATTACTTAGTGTGTTTGTAAGTTTATCCATGTTGTAGCATACATTATTCTTTCATTGGTTTTGGCCAAATAAATTTGATTATACAATACTATTTTGTTTATTCATTAGTCAGTTAATGGCTACTTTAATTGCTCCCACCATTTGGCTATGTTTAATTTAAGCATTCCTATTGGTGTTCTTGTATAGAAATATATTTTCATATATATTTCACATATATGTATATACATATCCATATGCACACACACATATATACATATGAAGTAGGAGTGAAATTGCTGGATCATACAGTAACTGTTAACTATTTGAATTTGTTCCAAAGTAGCAAAAATATATTATATATATATATATATATATGGAGCAAAATTACTAGATCATGTAGCAACTGCTTAACTATTTGAGGAATTGCCAGACTGTTCCAAGACAGTTTTGTCATTGTACATCCTTCCTAGCATTGTATGATGGTTCCTAATTCTTTTGACTCCTCAATACTTTTTATAATTTTTATTGTAGCCATACTGGTATCTGTAAAGTGCATCTCACTGTAGTTTTGATAATCCTCAGTAACTGTTTTGTTTTGGAGATAGGGTTTCTCTGTGGCTCTGACTGTCTTAGAACTTGCTCTATAGATCAGGTTGACCTCAAACTGACAGAGATCCACCTGCCTCTGCCTCCAAAGTGCAGGGTTTAAAGGTGTACACTACTACCTACTTGGAGAAATGCTCATTCAGGTCTTTGTCCATATTCCAATTGGGTTATCATTACTATTGGGTTGTAAAGATTGTTTTTGTCATATTCTGGACACAAGTTGCTTACTGAACTGCTTTCTTGATGGTATTTATGTGAACACATTTTCAATTTTAGTGACATCTATTCAGTTTCTTCCGTTGCTTGTTGTTTAGTGTCACAGCTAAGAATCCATTGCCAAATCAAGTGGTGATGTCTCTCAACTTCCTCTAAATTTTGTCATTTACATGCATGTAAAGTCTGTGATGTACTTATTTTTACATTGTCTGAACTCAGGGTTAAATTTCATTCTTTTTGTATACCCCTTTGTTTGAAATGTTTCATTTTTCTGGACTCTTACTGATGTGACCCTGCCCTTAGATAGTAAAACAATGTCATCATTGTTCTGTAGGGTTTTTTTTTAACCCTAACTTAGGGAAATTGACAATTAAGGAATTAATTCCTAGTCAGAAGCCATCCAGGCTCATAAGGTAGCCCTGTGTATCTCTGGAGATGCTCAGTATGAAATTCCAAGTGGTATCAAACGTAGTGCTATTCACTGATACTTGGTTATACATAACAAGTACAACATAGTCCTCCATGACCTACATCACAGAGTAAAAATTATTGTTGGTCATAGTTTCATGTCTCATCTCAAAAAGAAGCCAGTCTTCTATAGTTTTAAAAAATATGCTTCAACAGATGCAGCGAACTACAGCCAAGCTCTGGGCTGAGCTCCTGGAGTTCAGTTGGAGAGAGGGAGGAGGGATCATGAGCAAGGAGATCATCAAGACCATGATGGGGAAACCACAGAGACAGCTGACCTGAGCTAGTAGGAGCTCATGGACTCTGGACTGACAGCTGGGGAACCTGCATGGGACCCAACTAGGTCCTCTGAATGTGGATGGCAGTTTTGTGGGCTTCATCTGTTGGGGTGCCCCTGGAAGTGGGACCAGGACTTATCCAGGTGTATTACTTGCTTTTTTTGGAGCCTATTTCCTATGGAGGGATACCTTGCTCAACCTTGATACAGGGGGAGGGGCTTAGTCCTGCCTCACTTGGTATGCCAGACTTTGTTGACTCCCCAAAGAAGGCCTTACCCCCTCTGAAGAGTGGATAGGGGTGGGAAGGGAGGAAGTGGGGGGGCAGGAGAAGGGGAGGGAGGAGGAACTGAGGTTAGTATGTAAAATGAAAAAAATTAAATAAAAATGCTTCAAAATTTTAATATGAATATTTATAGGATACAGCACTGGAGTATACATATAGTCGCGTACATTTTAGTCATCTTTTTTTCATCCAAATGTCAATTATCATATAAAAAGAGAAATATTTTTTTAAAAAAGGAAGAAGTGAATAGTTATTAGGGCAATACTTCTCACAATGTAAATATTTTTGCCATTAAAAAGGCTTCACATAAGCCGGGCAGTGGTGGCGCACGCCTTTAATCCCAGCACTCGGGAGGCAGAGCCAGGCGGATCTCTGTGAGTTCGAGGCCAGGCTGGACCAACAGCCTCCAAAACAATACAGAGAAACCCTGTCTCATAAAAAACAAAAAAAGAAAAAAAAAAGAAAAAGAAAAAAAGGCTTCACATATTTATTTCAGTTATGGTTTGTCCTGCATAAAAACTGGCATGTTGTTCTTTCATAAAATACTAAGTAATGGAGAATATAAAACTCTATAGTTCTATGATAAACTCTTAAATATATAAAAAACAATTTAAATGACTTTACAATTCGAATCTTTGTGTTTTTCAGAACATATTTTCTGAGTTTATAACAATTGAAATGTTATTTCATGGCAAAGCTCTAGAGGTCTTCACTAGTGCATACCAAAATATACAGAAGATCGATGAGGATGAAGATCTAGAGGTAGGCCTACATCGAAACCCAGTTCTGTCAGTGTGGGAATGCTTGAGAACTTTAGTTTGTATGGGTAACCTAAATAACTGATCTCCTGTGGTTTTTCATCTATACTTTTAGCAGATGACTGTCACTCTTCACGTACTCACACTCACATTTAATCTTCGCCCTTTCCATCTTTTCATCTTTAAAAGAGTATCAGATTTTATGACAATTATAAATAGCAAATATTTGTCTAATCATTTCTTTGAACAGATCTGTATATTTTAATTATGCTAATTAATCCACCAACTCTAAGGATAAGAAAAACTGAAACACAGTAAAGAAATTTCCCAGAGGCCGATAGCTAGTTTAGTAGCACTGGTGGGAGTCACGTCTAAAAGTCTATCACAATCTGTTCTTAATGCTCTGTACTCAAGGCTACAGCTAGTGCTGAGGATGGGTGACTTGCACCATTTCTAATGCAAGAAAACACACTGAGTTGAATAGCAGGTTCAAGTGATCTCTGTTCTTTTCCTGCAAAACTCGAGTCCCCTTTACAAGTACCAGTCTCCTTTTTCTAACATTCCTGACTTGTGAACTGACCCTCAAGTTAAGTTCTTTGGTCCTTAAAATGTTTTTCTCATTCCAGAGGCCCTAGATGTCACTCTACACCCTTTATAATTTATCACTGCTCTCAATCAGCTAGCTAAGTAGGTTGTGTAGAAGAAACAGATGAAGAACTAAAGGTTTCAAGGTTGTATAGTAGATATATTTTTGAACTTCCTTCATGGTCCAGTGTAATAGTACTGAATAAATTAACTTCTTTACACATCTTCATGACAAAATAAAAATTATGCCACTTACCTCCTAAGGTATCCAAGCAGCAACTGGTTTGTGAGCACCCGTTATGCCAAGCACCATTCTAAGTACTAGGATTATGAGTAAGAAATAGTCTACAGTGTCAAAGCTAATTATAATCTTCCAGTGATATGAAGGAGGCAAAAGTCTATGTAGCCATTAAGATTCTATAATGCAACCAATCCCATAACATGTAGGGTGTGGGGGGGTGTGTAAGAGAGGGAGGCAGGTAGGGAGGGAGTGGGGGAGGGAGAGGGAAGGAAAGAAAGGTTCCACAGTGTTAAAGCCAGAGGAGCTTGAGAGATGCCTAGAAAAACCCTTATGGTGGCATAGATAATACAAAGGTCCTTGGGCTATTGTAAATGAAGAACAATGTAAACATTTAGCATGGAATGAATGGAAACATACCCTTAGACCATCTAACATCCATGACTCTGGACCAGGAGAAGTATAATGATATGCACATATAACCTAGATTTCTTGGAAACAAGAGAAATACAGAGGGACATAACTTGTTTTTCTTTATAGTCATTCTTCTAGGTTTATTTCAGCAGCACAGCAGATAACTTTTTGCACTTATTACAAACTGTCTTGTTCCTCACATGAATGGTATTCTCTGGCCCATTTCTCCTTCAAAAATAATTTCTCTGCTTTCATTTGAGAGTATATCCAGACCTTGCGATTGCTCTAGATATTGTACATTGCCGATATACTCAATTTTCTGTAAATATGTTTTTATAGCAAAAGGGTCGATCTTAATACTTGTTTAAAGTTTCTCTCAAGGGTTCCATATCATGTTATTTTTCTGTTTTTTTATTATTTTTAAACTTTGATTTTATATTCTAACTACAGTTCTCCCTCTCACTCCTCCTCCTGTCCTCTCACGCCCCACCCAGCCCACCTCCCCATCCACTCTTCCCGAAGAGTAAGGACTCCCATGGGAGTCAGCAAAATCTGCCACATTAAGTTTGGGTAGGACCAACCTCCCCCAACCTGTCCCTGCCCCACATTAAGGCTGGGCATGGCATCCCACCATAAGGAATGGGCTCCAACAAGTTAGCTCATGCACCAGGGATAGATCCTGGTACTGCTGCCCAGCCCCTCAGATAGTTCAAACTTCACTACTGTCTCCCAGGTATGGAGGGCCTAATTCAGTCCCATAGAGGCTTCACAGCTGTCAGTCCAGAGTCCATGTGTTCCCACAAGCTTGGTTTAGCTGTCTCTGTAGATACCCTTTTCATGATCTTGACCTCTCTTGCCCATATATTCTCTCCTCCCTCTCTTCGACTGGATTCTCGGAGCTCAGCCTGGTGCTTGGCTGTGGATCTCTGCATCTGGTTCCATCAGTTCATGTTATTTTTCTTTGCTTTCCTAAAGAAGTTTGCAGTGTTCAAATAAAAATATATTCCCTCTCAATACTAGGTGACCTTGAACCACCCATATGTTATACCTGTATATCACCAATGTTAAATCTGCTAACTTAATTATTCTTCAACGATCCTAAAATATAGTTCTTACATCCTAAATTGTATCCCTTGATTCCATTTGTATTCTGCAGCATTGGAAAGCTTACAACAGCAGTTTGCACTCAACCTGTGGGTCATGACCCCTTTGGGGATTAATGACCCTTCCACAGGGATCACCTAATACCATCAAAAAACACAAATATTTACATTACAATTTGTAACAACAAAATTACAGTTACAAAGTAGCAACAAAATTTTTTGAGACAGGGTTTCTCTGTATACAGCCCCAGCTATCCTGGAACTTGTTTTGTAGATCACACTAGTCTCAAACTCACCTGCATCTGCCTCCCAAGAGCTGGGAGTAAAGACATGCACCACCACTACTGGGCTGCAACAAAATCATTTTATGGTTGAGGAAGTCACCACAACATGAAAAATGGTTAAAGGGTCACAGTATTAGGAAGGGTGAGAAACACTGGCTTACAGGAATATAAGGGACAGTCCTTAGTTTGGTTCTTTACTTCCACAAAATGGGGATTATGTTGGTGTTAGCATTCATTAGGCAAAAGTGAATTTAACTAGCACCATTTATTTGAAGAATGGCAGAGATAAAACACAGTTCCTTTCACCAGAAACTTAAGGCTAGTTGTAGAGTCATCTGATCAAACTTAGTAACATAACAATTACCCTTGGGAATGGTAGGAGGAGCTGCTGGCTACCAAATACAAGAAAGATAACATTTGACTTGACTCCAAGGATTGGTAAATTTGCAGTGATGCCCTGATGATTAAACCAGCAATAAAGAGGCACAGTATAACGTATATTCCCCACATACATTAGTTCTATGAGCTTGAGTGGCACGAGGCCTCTGAATATCACTCTGAAGTCAACGTTTGACTCTGGTAGGTAAGAGCCACAAAAAAGATTTTTAGTTGAGAATATTTGGTCTGCAGTAATATGATGTTAAATAAGCTGTGAAGAAAGGTATACAGTCAGTATGTTAAATACTTCAGGAAAAAAATTAACTATGATGTCCATACTGCTAGGTAGAAAGCCTTTAAGTTCACACCCTATACAGTAGGACTAGGTTTATGTGGCTATCTTACTTTAAAAAAAAGAATCAAAATCCCACACAAACCATGCCATGTGGTTAGCAGCCACACATAGCCAGGAGCCTTTTTGGACATCAAACATTTCCTTCATCTACACTCCATGTTATTAGGATAACATTTGATTTTTTTTTTAAAAAAAAAAAGGTGGAATAAAGAGTTTGGAAGGTTTTGAAATTCACACTGATTTTGACTCTTCATCTATGCTAGAAATAGGCATAAGAGATGAAGGCTTGAGAAACACTGACAACATTTGAGAGTACTGACAAGTTCAGATTCTAATGATGTTAGGGTTAGGGTGACTCCAATGTAAACCGTGCACAGTGACACTCCTGCAGTGAATGTAGGCAAAGCAAAAAGAACCAAAGGTAAATGTGTGCCACACTTGTTTGCACTTACCTCAGTCACATGATTACTGAACATCTGTTATGAACTTGCATGATCCTAGTAGAATGTTTTTACCTTTTTCCAATTTGACTAGATTTGTAATTTTTCCTCTTAAGCTTACAATAACTCAAATTTAAGAGTGTAATGAGCTGAACTCAAGAAAGCCAGTAACAGAGAGGGAGGACTGATGATCAAAGGGATTAAGACTGGGCTGGTTTAACCCACAGAAACAGCTGACCAGACAAAGGTTAACTCTTGAATCCCAGGCATCAGCCTGGGAATCCAGCATGGGACTGATCAAGACCCCCTGAATCTGGGTGTCAGTGAGGAGGCCTAGGGAATCTATTGAGCCTTGGGCAGCAGATCAGTACCCATCCCAAGTATACACATGGACTTTGGACTCCCATAGAACAATGTGAGGTGCACTCTCACCCTGAACTCTTGGGGAAGGGTCTAGGCCCTGCCCTATATGAAATGACAGACTATGGACACCCCCATGGAGGGCCTCACCCTCCCTGGGGGAATGAGGGGATAACGGGGGGGGGGGGGGTTGGGGAGAGGTCACAGGAGGAGGGGAGGGAATGGGAGAGGGACCTGGAACTGACTTGTGAAGCAACCTCGTTTCTTATCTAAACTTAAACTGGAAAATAAAATTTAAGTTGGTTATCTAGATGTTCATTTTACATCTACTTTATAATGTTGTTTTACATTGCAATAGGTTTTCCGAAATTCTCTGTATCTACCAGATTATCCATCTCGTTTAGATATTGTAAGAGCAAATTCAAAGTCACCTCTTCAGAGATCAGTGTCAACTAAGTGCACATCTGGAACTGGACAGGTGAGCTAAAAAATACTAAAGTAATTTGAGTTGTTGCCTTTGGAACTGCTGAGTACTAACTAAAAAGGCTTCCCTTATCATGTGACCTCATACAATGCATTCTCTCTGGCCATAGTTCTTCTTCTGAACATGATAAAAAGGTTGTACATCACATTCTACTTACTCTCTGAGGCAGAACAGTGAAAAAACAGATGGGAAAGACAGACCGGTGCTAATGTAGATTTGCTGTGTCTAGTATCAACATGTACAAATTGTAAAATATACCTAAAAGTGGCTTTTCTAAGCATAATTCATGAACCCAGACCCATAGCTCTTTTAGATCAACAGTCAAAACCGTAACTGTAATATGCCAAAATCTGATATTGCCTCAGAATTATAAAACTGGATAAAACAATCTCAAAATACGATTTTAAGTAAAATCCAATGACTTCCTGTCATTGGATTCTGTGCATTGTTTCTGCTTCCCCCAAGTCAAATTACATTTCTGTTAGTTTAGACTTGACACATGTATTTGATAAATTGTCTTTATATTCCATATGAAGTTCTATTTAAAACTAAATCTTGTATACTAGGGTAATTTTAATTCTTAGCCTTACTAACTTGAGATCAGGTATCTGGGCATTGGGTAGAAATACTGCCTGTATGTAACATCTGTCAGTAGCAGTACATATCTACAATGTGACCACCTCGGGTGTGCAGACACTGCACAGTGCTCCTGGGTGGCACAGATCACCCTCAGAGAGGTTTCAGTAAGATAGCTAAGGGAGAATAAGATGTACAGCCAGTTGTTTCTCAACTCACTCAATGTTACGTCTATTGTCAGTATTGCTGTCTAATTGACATACCTGGTTGTGCCATTCTCATTCTATAAATACTGCAAGGGTTGTTTAACTTACTTTAACATTTACAATACACAGTGATGGTACTTTGTTACTGAAGTATCTACTAGAGTCAAATGTCGTTAACCTCATACATACTGATACGGAGACTTCAACCTTAAAATTCACAGGGAACTTAGTCATTTTCTGAAATATTTGTTCTGTATTCCCTTTTCTATAAGGACATGTAAAAAGATGCCAAGCATGTAAAATCATGTTTTAATTTTTCCATGGGTTGTTAACAGATAGGCACCAGCCGAACAAGAAAAGACCAACAAGTAGAAGATGAAGATGATGAAGAGTTAGATGTGACAGAAGATGAAAACTAATTTTAAGAAAACTCCACATTTCCGTTTTCATGTTAAGTGAAATCCATGATCACTTTATACACACTCACTCAACAGGTTAAACTTCAAAATGAAATACTACTATGGAAAGGGGTGGTGGGGGGAGGTAAAGGCAATTATGCTCACCAAAAGAAAAGACAAGTTTTTTTAATGTTCCATACCAGTCTTTTGTTGTTCTTCTCAAGACAGAGTTTCTCTGTATAAGAGCCCTGGCTGTCCTGACACTCATTCTGTAGACCAGGCTGTCCTGGAACTCAGAGATCCTCCTGTCTCTGCCACCCGAGTGCTGGGATTAAAGGCGTGCACCACCACTGCCGGGCTCATACTAGTCTTTCAACATCCTATTTTGGTAGCTTATTTTTCTGTATATGTTCTATTAAACAAACAAAGGATATGTATTTCAAAGCATTTCAGATTTAATGCAGTGTGTGTGTGTGTGTGTGTGTGTGTGTGTGTATTAAAGATGCAAAAGGAATCAGATAACAAAAGGATTGAATAATTCCTTTCAGTTCCTTTTAGGTTAAAACTTTGGGTTTTGAATACTATAAGAGGTCATTTAATAATTCTATGCCATAATGCCTTAAGTAAAAAGACTGCTTCTTTTACATTCATCATAACCTTATGTTTCATCATTTGGTGTGTAAATTTAGTGTCTTCAGCAAAAATGTAGCTAAGTAAAAGGTGTGGAATGCTGACATTGGGTTTTATAAATACACAACTTAAAAGGATGTGTTCAACCTTTGTGGTTTAAAACAAACTGACTCAAAGCACTGTTCACTCTACTTGTGCAAGTCACTGATACTCGGAGGGCAAGTGATTTGTTAGAAATGTGCCTCTCTCATCATAGAATGCCATGAGCCACTAACACACTCTATCAGGCCACCAGTCAATAAACATGTTTGTACTTTATTCCTAAATCCACAGACATTTCTTTTTCTTTTGGTAAAAAAGAAAAAAAACACCTTTATGAATCTCAAAGCAATTATTTAAAACAAAAAAATTAAAGTATTACTCCCTAAGAATACTTTTAAGATTACTTTGGTACTTTTTCTCACAATACTTTAAAGCCCTGGGAGTTAAGGAAGGGAGATTACTACTTGATTTTTATAGTCTTGGTCACTATGCAAATTTGGTGTTATGTAGATCATAACTTCTCTCAAGCAGCAACTGCCTCATCAAGTAATGCCTAATACAGCAAACAGTTGTGACTCTACAGTTGCTGTTCCTACTTCAGAGAACATTCTAAGAACAAGAGCTCAGTGTGGGGTACAAGCGCTTACCCCACTTTTAGAAGGCAGAGGCAGGGGATCAATTATAAAGGTCATCTTTGGCTTCAGCTGAGTTCAGAACCAGCATGGTCTACAGGAGACTTTAAAAAAAAAGATTAAGATTACTTGTATATGCCTGGCGGTGGTGGTGCACACCTTTAATCCTAGCTCTCAGGAGGCAAAGGCAGGTGGATCTCTGTGAGTTTCAGGCCAGCCTGGTCAGTAGAGTGAGTTCCAGGTCAGGGTTTTTACACAGAGAAACCCTGTCTCAAACAACAACAAAAAATTGTATACATGTATTATACATGTATGTATATAAAAATAAAAGGAATATTAGACTACATTTTACTATTTGTGGGCAATGAGGCAAAAACAAGGCCATTATATGACTACCAGTTAGGATATAACTACACTTAAGAATGTGAAAACTGGGCTAGGGGTTAGCACTAGCCTATATTGTGCATGATGAAGCTCTGGGTTCAATTCACAGCGCAACTTTAAAAGAAAAAAAAAACCTCAGCAAGGTAAATAATAGCCCATCATTTGGCATCTCTAATAAAAATTAAGCATTGGTAATCTTAATAGGTAATAAGGATCAAAAGCCACTGCTTTGTAACAATATTTTCATCTCCAGGATGGTTTGACATATCTTATAGGATTAAGTTTCCTTTCTAGATATGTTTTCCTATTTTATATACATTCTCAACCAAAAGAAAAAAGTGTAACTTGAATGCAAAACACAGTCTGTCGTGTTAAGAGAACCAACACACTCTCAATGTACCTACTACTGACAGCTAGAAAATTGGCCATGGAATTACTTAAGCTGGGCGACCAAAGCATGATGCCACCGTAGAACTGTCCTTTCATGTGTCTGAAACTGATGTGTACAGCTCCCTAGGCTTGGCAGACAAGGGAAATACTCTGACTTGTATAAATACTAGCTACTACCATGGCCAACTGAAGTTAAATCAACATTTTACTCAAGGCAGTATTAGAAAGAGATGTGCAAAAACAGCTCCCATACTACTGTTTACGAAACAAGTTTTCTATAACAAATTTTTATAATAAAGTTTACATAAATATTGAACCTGGGGTTGAGCGAGATGGCTCAGTCAGTGAGGTGTTTACTGCACAACTATAAAGCCTAAAAGAGCTGAGGAGGCACATACAGGAAGCGGGTGCTGGCCAGTCAGTCTACAAGTTCAGTGAGAGAGAGACCTTGCCTCACAGAAAAGTTAAAAGTGTTCAAACAAGACACCATGAAACTCTAGCCTCATACAAACACACCAGTAAGTGTTTACTAAGCCTGATAACTGAGTTAAAACGGCCACAGAATGTAATTTGAAAATCGAGGCATGGGAAAAGAGATGGCACAGCAGTTAGGAGCGCTCCTCTCAGCTCCACAGACACATGGTACACACATGTACATGCAAAGCACTCACACATGGTACATACATAGTTAGTACACACACGTGTCTACTAGCTAGTTTCTTATCCACCACTCCCATCTTCCCCCAGCCCAATTTGAGAAGTAATTACATATTCAATGATCTTTCATTTTAAGCTGTATCTTAGTTGTATCACTATGTATTGATCTGGAAAGTATTTACAGTCTGACACATCTGATCAAATGAATATGGAATAATTCATTGTCCTTGGTTAAGATAGTCAGATTTTTCATTCTGTAAAAGCATATTAGTTTTAAGACTCAGAATGTGGGTTTTTTTTTCAACAGAATTTATCAATTTATTCTACTTAATTTTTGGTTTTTTTTTTTGAGACAGGGTTTCTCTGTATTGTTTTGGAGCTTGGTCTCAAGCTCACAGAGATCCACCTGCCTCTGCCTCCCGAGTGCTGGGACTAGAGGCGTGTGCCACACCGCCTGGCATACTTAATTATTAACTAATTAAAACAAAAACTTATGCAGTCTTCTCTTTAATTTCTTTAAATCACTGAATGTTAATTCAAGATACTGAAAGTATTCTACTTCTGCAATAGCTAAATGATACACTATATTAAAATTTTTAGGGCTAGAGGGATAGCTCAGCCGTTAAAGGCTAGGCTCACAACCAAAAATTTTATTCACGACTACTCAGTATGGGAAATGTCTGGATGAAGTAGGTAAAACTTTGTTTCAATATAAACTATAAAATAATAAATCAAATTAGATAAGATGAAGAACTTTGAATTGGAAACATATATATATATATATGTTACCAAGACAAACTATAAATTCTTAAGTCATTTTTCTCTTTAATTTAGCTAACAATGTTTACATATCATACTTTTTAATCATACTTTAAATGCAACTTTAAAAACAAAAATATATAATTTGCTCATGAAAATATTTTTATCATAATCTTACTAAAGTTAAAAATACCATGTAACAAGGTGACACAGCAAAAATATTTATGAACATTATATAATCAGAGGTCTGCTTACGGGGGTTTAAATTGGTTCTATAACCTAATATTACTTCAGGCAAACTGCTTACACTCTCTGAATTTCACTTCTCATTTGTGAAATAGAGATAATAAATAGAGATCATATATTAAAGGATTTACTGCCTAATAAGTTATGTGTTCATTGTCAGCTACTTCTATTATTATGGGTAAGGAAAATCTAATTGAGTATAAGCAAATATAAACATTGAGTATCAAAGTCAAAATTCACACTCAGAAATCTTGTATTTAATGAGTCTGTGAATAAATACAAAATTTTGAAGCTAAAAGAAAACCAAATGAGTCACCAGTAACTTGTTCCTAGGAAACTATATTCATTTGTCATATTTTTCCCAGCCAGAGTTCTCCTTTAGCACTAAACAAATTATTTTACTATCTTCTGAATATTTTGTGTTAATCTTAGCAATCTAGTTAGGATAAACCCTAGGCCCCCAGTGCTTAAGATAAAATGATGTTGAAGAAATCATAGACCTGTGCATTATTATTACACATTATTTGGTCCCGCTCACCATATAGTTTTAATAGAACTGTTGAGAAAGTTTACAATACCCAGCTGCAATTCTATCTTTGTTCCTGTTATACAAATACAAGTTAATAAGTATTTCAATTGCAATTTTATTTTATAAAACTTTTCAAAGTTATGAACACAAATGTTGGGAATTTCCTAAGCCTTTCACATAAGTAAATTTCAAGTTCACAGTATGTTCATTTTCTGAACTATTTAGAGTTAATGGGAGACCTTAACACAATATCTCAAACAAAAGGGAGTTCTGCAGGCAGGTAGCAATTAAAGTGCCAAACCTGAACAGTCAGTCAGTCATCCATCATTTCCTTATACAGTCTGAGAAAAAGATGGTGAAAACAAAATTAAAGATAAATTTACCTTCCCCAAACATAACTCCACATTTCACAAGACGAGGGTTTATCCATAACATCAATGAAACTAAGGAATTCAGGAAAATTGTTTCCACTCCCCTATCAAAGAAAACAAGCATACGTAATTTTAAATTAGAGAGAAAAAGAATGTCCATTTGTAAGCAAAGGAAATCCAGATTTACATAACACAGCTTGTCTATTCACAGATTAAAATGAAAATGTTTAATTATATAATTAAAAATAAATTTTTAAGAAAGGTATGTTTTTACTGCAACAATACTGTGGAAGAAAACTATGGACTTAGAAAGGCTCTCTAAAGCAAAATGAGCTTAACTTTGCGGGGACCAACTGGTCTACCATTTAGTTCTTTAATAGCAGCTATAGCTTCATTATAATTTATCATAGCAATAATGGCTTCTCCTATAGGTAACCCTTGCTCATTATATTGTATTGAAACTGAGTCAGGTATGACTTTATAACCATGGAAAAAATCTAAAATTTCATTAGCATTAGCTTTAAATGGAAGATTCATGATCTTAACAGGAGTTATTCTACCTGAACTACAACTTAATTTTAGATCAGGCATAAATCTTCCCTCAGGAACACATCCCATATTATGCTTTCCAAGATCAAACTTGCCACCTTCTAAGTGACCAAAGTTCATAAAAGGACGGTGACCTCTGAAATCAGGTGAGGTCCAAAAATCCTCACCAGGAGATCTAAAACTATCAGGAACTCTAAGGCCGTCCTCTGGTACTTCCCTGAGGTCTTCCCCAGAGAGCTGCCTGAAGTCCTCATCAATGGGACATCTCAGATCTTCTTGGGTCCTGAAGTCCTCATCAGAAGGGTGCCTATAGTCTTCATCTGACATATGCCTGAAATACTCCTCTCGGGAAAGCCGGAACTGTTCCTGGAGTGGCCGTCTAAAGTGCTCCTGGGATGGCCTCCTGAAGTGCTCCTGAGGTGGCCGTCTGAAGTCCTCCTCCCAAGGGTATCTAAAATCATCCTCTGGTAGCTGCCTAAAATCTTTTTCATGAGAGTGCCTGAAGTCATCTTCTGGTGACCATCTCCAATCCTCTAGAGACTTTCTCCAGTCTTCCTCCCTTGAGCGCCTGATGTGTTCCTCCCGGGGGTGCCTGTAGTCTTCTGAAGAGTGTCGGAAGTCCTCAGGAGAGTGCCGGAAGTCTTCTGGAGGGCTTCTGTCAGACTGTTGGAAATATCTGTGGGGATGCCTTAAGTCTTCTGACTGGTAACCAATGCTTTCAGACCTGCCTAGTGAACATACTGGCGAGTCTTTTAAGTCAAACAGACGGGAACAGTCATCTCTCTTGTGTGATTGGGAACGGGCTTGTGTTTTCTCATTGCACATAAAGGAAAAATTTACACCAAACTCCTGCATTTGTACCTCAGATATAAGTCTCAACAACACCTCTGTCCCTAAGAATCTTCTGCGGTTTAAACGTTCAGCTTTCATGGCCTGTTCTTCTGATTTAAATCTCACCAGTGCTTCTCCCAAACCAACTCCCTTGTCATCATAAAGCAAATAAATGTCATCCTCAACAAGGGCAAAGTCTGCAAAGAACTTCTGCACTTCAACTTTTGTGACATCAAATGGAAAGTTTCTTATATATATGTACAGTTTCTGACCAGAGCAGCCTTCTTCAAAGAACTTTTGTGAAACACGTCCAGGCCTTCCTTTCTCTACCATTCCTGGTCTCTTCTTTTCATAGCATTCAATGAATTTCACCATTTGCTTTCTAGAAATTGGATCAATAAAAACTGGACGATATTGTAAAACAGTCTTATGCAAACCCAGGGCAGTATTATAGTCTTTTAGATTCTTGAACATTACAAAGGCATACCGTGTTCTTCGTTCATCTTTATATAAAAACTTAATCTGTTCATTAGTCAGGTCAGTATCTTTAAAGAAATTTCTTAAATCTCTTTTATCAATGCTTAAGGACAGATTTTTTAAGTGAAGATAAAATCCAAGAGGAGAGCGAGAACGTGTTCTTCTAGGAGATTTTGAATGAGTCTGTTTTCGAAAATGTCTATCATTGATACCTCTTGAAGGAGAATGTTCTTCAGCTCTCATACGAGGAACGTCACCACCCTTAGCTGCATTACCACCAAATTCAATCCACTGTTGTTCTGAGCCCTGCATTACTTCTATAAATCTTGACCCCATGAAACTTCTATGGCATTTAAGACCTCCTGAAGCATCAATACATGATGCAAATTTTACTACAGCATCACCATTATTTCGGCCATCATGATGTTTTAAGAAAATTACTCCATCCACACACAAACCAGAGAAAAAGACACGTACATCATCTTCATTTACTAAGTAAGGCAAACCTCGTAGAAACAAGTAAGGGTTCTCAGCCTTCGATGGCCTGGTCTTTCTTGGCCTTACATCAAGTCCTGTACCATTAGTATGAAACCCAGCATCTTGATTAGTTGAAGAGCCATATCCAGAATAACTCTCCTCTTCCTTCATAGCATCAATAAAATGATACAGGTTGCTAACCCCTGATGCCCCTGGTCCCGGCCGCCCTCTTCCTCCACGAGCAGTTCTTTTCATTTCTATGGTCTTCTGCATTTCTGCCTTGCTACTAAGAAAAAGCTCTACAGATGAATCCTTAATAAACCCTCCTGAACGGCTTATGGCACGTCTCGCATCTTCATCTGTTGCAAAAATAATAAAAGCCTCCCCAACTTTCCCTCCAATTATATGCACTCCTCCATCAGGAATAGTCAATCCCTTGAAGAAGTGACGGATATCCACAGGCCCCGCAATAAAAGGAAGCCCCAGTAAACGGATGACTACAGCCATGCTGAGCTCAAACCACAGCAATAATGACCTGCAGACAAAAAGGTACACATAATAGCAAGTCTTATTTTTGCAGTACCTTAGCACAAACTAACTTAATAATTACCTGGTTCCTGCTTCCTTCAGTATTAATAAATGGAAACAAGATACTAGTTCACAAAAAAAAACTGATTTTACCTAATTCTTAAAGAAAATATATACTCTTCTCCTATCTAAACATACAAATAAACCAACTGCCTTAAAGTAACATTATCCTATCCTATTCAATAGGAGCATCAAAATATCAACTCTTCCTTTGTAAGTCTGCCAAATGCTGTTTCACAACAAGACCAAACTACTTTTAGACTGTTTAGAAATGTGTCTCCTACTGACCTTTCTGTTACTAACCACAATAAAGTTTACATATTCAGAAAAGCCAGTGTACAATTTCTGCTCAGGATATTCAGCTGCCACGTAAAAACCAGAAGCAATGAGTACAAAGATGCACTGATCTATCAGATCTTGTCACATTTCTGTGCAAAGCCTTAATCTCTGGTGTCTTACCTTTTCCTTTTATTTCTTGGAGACCTGTTAATTCTGTAAAAGCAACTTAACTGTGGAAAGAAAATGAAATATAATTAATCCCTGAACTCTGTAACTGATCTCAATACCTGACATCCATTTCAGAATTACCTACCAGAGTAAAAAAAAAAAAAATGTAAAGCATCACAATTATGGGAACATTATTATACTTCTGCAAAAAAAAAAAAAGACGTATAACACCAGGCAGACAGTATGTTACTAAAAAGTAAACATGTATGCAAAAAATTACACTACTCTATTAGCATGAAAAGGTATGAAGGAAATAGATATTTTGAGTGTAGTGGTGCTTACTTGAGTGTATAAAATATACCGAAGCTCACTGAATTCTATCATTTTGTAAAGTCTAGGCTTATCACATGCTGATATACATAAGTTGTACTTTTTTTAAAAATCTGTTTTATAAGTAAAACATCAATTTGAAAATCAAATATTTTTAAAGACCTTCCATCACTTCACCTAATGCTGGCCTAAACATATAGTTCAGACCTATGTCCAACTCCCTTGACATTCTCCATCCTTCCCAAAACATAATACTAAGTCAAACAAAGCAAAAATTCAAAATGGTATAGTAAATAAAAATATCAAAACTGTAAAACTATCAATTATTATGCAATAAATCCAAGTCAATGGCTACCATTTGGATACAGATTCCTCATATGGCAAATACAGAAACAAATGCTATTATGATGAAATTAAGGAACTACTATAGCATCCCTAAAATTACAATAAAATCAGTGTCAATTCTTGTCCAATATGCTTACAACAGTAGAATATTGAAATTCAAACACACACAAAACAAAAAACTATCAACTTTGGAATTTTATTATGTTAACAGCCACTTCAAAAAACTACCCTACATACTTACATCACAGAAACAATAATAATAGAGAAATAAACAATATAAAAGCTAATTAGGAATATTGGGATTGCCAATATTCATTACTGGGAAAAAACTCAACTTAGTACTAAGAAAACTTATATGTGGTACTTTCAAAAACAATATTTACCAGATAACTTTTAAAATGTGCCAAATGAATCACTATACTTAATATTAATGTACAGATAAATTTTTGTTACCTTAAACGTAAGCACCATTGTGCATAAAAGTTTGAAAGGTTAATCAATAAAATCAATGGCACACACTACATTTTAAAATTGAGGTTTACTATTAATTTGTTTGCAGTACAAAAAAAAGCCTAATTTCAACAAGTTAATATCCACACCCAACACTTCAACAAAAACCATCAATGGCACTCCTTGAAACACCTGTCAACATTCAAATTCCAAGATTCCTACTGACTTGGCAGATTTTTAACTCTAAATATTTGGGGAAGCAAATGATAAGTACCACTTTGTCTGACCTTAAACTTTTTAAATTCAAAAGGGATGGACCTTGAGGACATAAATTCAGCTACAATTGGAGACATTTCACAGAAATATGTAGATACCAAGTTCCAAATGCTTCTCACAACACATCCTAACTTAAAAACTACCTTATCTAAGTGTCAGGCACAAAACTATTGAATTCCAATCCAAGAGACCTAAACTTTGTTCTAGTTTGCCAAATAAAAGTTAATGCTTAAACCTCTCTGCCCTTGCCATAGTAGAACAAGGTTATCATTTATCAATAGGCAGTAACATCTAGAACATATCTAAGAGACTCCAAGTATTTCTTACAATACACTATTTCTTTAAAACCTCCAAAGTCTGCTGACACATTAGATTGTACCAAAGTCAAGACACAAATTATCCTGTTCTAGTTTTGAATGCCACTGCACACAATTCGAAACACACACTAACCCTGGTTTAGTTATGAATGCCAGAGTGAATAGTGACGGTGTTAATGTCAGGCCACAATGAACTGCTAGGAAATACCTAAAAATTCATCTAATGATAACACATTTTAAACAACTTTGCTAATTTTACCACGACATCTTTCCATTTAAATCACCATCTTAATTAAATGATCTTACATGTGCACCTTTTAATCAAGATTCATAGAAAAACGGTCGACTGAACTTGAGAGCTATAATTTCAGATCCACTTGATTTTAACTATCAAATAAAGGCATTTTCCATACATGGCAAAGGAGACAGTTTTACTATATGTCCCTAGGTCTTACCCAGCTATGAAGAACATTAAAATTCTAAACTTAAATTTTCCTGCAGAAAATGTACCCCAGTCCACAAATAGTCTCTGATAAAATCTGCCTTTTATAATGCAGATATCTAAAATTAAACAAAAAAAAATGCATGACCACATAGAGCCACAGTCCCGGGTCAGGAACTGTTAAGTGAAGTCGAATCCACAGGGCATGGACTTCTCAAGTCATCCATCATCATCAAAGGGGAATACTCGGAAGGCGTCGATTTCACAGCCCAGCGCCTTTGTCTGCTCTCCCGAGCATCACTTTCCTCCTTTTACTGCCAGGCCAACTTGCTATGCCGGATCCAACATTGTCGCCAGAGTTTGAGCCCAAATAGGCTGTCAAATTAACCAGGGCCGCCCAACCAGCGTGCCTTTGCGTTCCGCTGTGCCAAGAGCGAAAGCTCCACCCCGGCTCGCCCAAGGGGACTGGCTCCCATCTCACTGAACCGCTCTGCGCCCCTCCAGCCCGAGGACACCGGCCTGCGGAGCGCGTGGACATGGCAAAGAAAAGAAATACCTAGGCGATGCTCCGAGATCTTCGCTGTCAAGATCCCAGGAAGCGCGCACACCATCTCAGGGAGGCTGGCGGGAGGGAGTCGGGGTCAGCGAGCGAGCCAGGCTCTAACCATACCGGCCGCGCTCGCTCCCGGCCCCGCCTGCCCGTCCTTCGGCTCGCACCCCATCCCGCCCGGCGCCCCGAGGAGACGTGCTTGGCACTGGGCACTGAGCACACACCCCACAGACAGGAGCTGGCCCGGCAGCCGCCACACACCCAGCGGAGCCCCCAGGCGGCCCCCAGGAAGATGGCGCCCACACTGCCCTCCCGTCGGTCGGGACAAACCGACGTACAGTATGTCTGCCCATGCGCTCTCCAGACATAACCCACAACCCAGGTGCCGGGCAGCGCATGCGCACACGTCCCGTGCAGTTTGCAGTAGTAAGCTGTGCCCTGAGTGTGTGAACTTCTGCTCACGCCCTCTTCCTAACCAATCCGGGAGCCCGGCCGCGAAATTCCCATCTGCTGGAGACAACTGCAAAAAATACACAAACCTAACAGGTTTCTTCTTCTTCTTCTTCTTCTTCTTCTTCTTCTTCTTCTTCTTCTTCTTCTTCTTCTTCTTCTTCTTCTTCTTCTTCTTCTTCTTCTTCTTCTTTTCTTTTCAGGTTAAGGAAAAAGATGGAAGGAGGAAGCTGGGAATTTCTTTGTTCTTAATTTGCTGCAGTTTCTGTTAGTCCTGAGGAAAAACACCAATTCCATGATTGTTTGATTAACGCAAGCTGGATTTAGAACTGTCCAGCCGACTGCCTCTCCTAGAGCTTTCAGAGAGCAGCCCCTCACTGGCTTTTGAGATTCCTTTTATGGGGAAGGGTTTGGGTTGATAGAAAACAGCGGTCAGGAGGTCAGGATAATTGACTGTTAGCACCTGGACAGAAGAGTGGGGACTCAGGGTTGTCTGTCTGTGGGTAGATAAGTGTAAGAATATGTCATGTGGAAGGTGTTAGGAATAATATGGGTTGGGATCCCAAGTGGCAGGTTCCCAGGCTGGGTGATAAATTGCTGGGGGATGAGGAAAGAGAGACCTGTAGACCTGACTCATATTGAAAGTTTTATTGAGGGGGCAGGTAAGAAAAAGAGGTAAAGATACACAGAGACAGAGAGAGGACAGAAGAGAAGAGGGAGACAGGAAAAGTCCTGTCTGCCCTAGGGGAACAGCAGAAAAGACCAATGGGGAGGTGTAAATTTTTGTTTTGTTTTGTTTTTCGAGACAGGGTTTCTCTGTAGTTTTGGAGCCTCTCCTGGAACTCAGGCAGTAGACCAGGCTGGCCTCGAACTCACAGAGATCCGTCTGCCTCTGACTCCCCTAAGTGTTGGGATTAAAGGGTGCACCAACGCCGCCAGCTGGGAATTTCTTCTAAAGGACCCTTTGCACCTGTGTGCAGACTATGTAGCCATGGAACCCGAGTGCATTCTGCCAGGTGACAGGGGCAGACCAGCAAAATGACTGAATCCTTACGGAAAGGAAGTGATCAAGGTGTCTGAGAATACACGTTTTCCTTAGGCAAAAGGCAACCATATATCACAGGTTCAGGAGTTTAGCAAGTCAAGGGAATGGTCATACAACAGGAGGTCCACAAGTTCAGCTTAGAATGTAAAACATGGCTTGCAGGATACTTTAGTCTTAGGAAACAGAAACTTACTCTCCTAAAGTATGGAGACTTAGTAACAATGTATAACACTGTGGCTCCTGTTTTGGTGTCACTTTTGACAGGTGTAAGCTCTTCTGAAAGATCCTCAACGTTTGGGAAAGTCACAGTAATGTTCATTTTACTGCTATAGATTGTGCACAAATACAATGTCCGTAGCCAAGGGCTTAATAAATAATGCTTAATCAATCTACTGGGCATCAGTAATGTTGGTAAGTACCTTTATAAACTTGATTTCGTCTGGAATTTTTGAAACAAAGTGGGTAGACAGACCACTTCTGAGAATTGAGAAATGAAAAGTGTAATCACAATCTTGTACTGTGATGCCTGCTCTGTATTTGGTTTTCCTTAATCGCTTGAAAATAACCACAAGATGTACGTATGGGTGGTTTCAAAGCCCTCTAATAAAACAAAATCTTAGAAGAAAATGAGTTTAATTTTGGTCATCGTAAAATAATGTCCACAAGAGGTACTCTAGCAATTGAATAAAAAATGTTTCTGGGCCATCTTCAGTTTGCTATTCTAAAATGGGAATAGTAATAGAATATGCCTCTTAGATTTGAAAGAAACAATGACAATGTAAAACAGTATTAAAAGTGCTGGTGATTAAGGCCACATCTCCCTATGGGCCAATGGGGGCCATATTCTTTAAAACCACCACAGTAATATAAATGATAAAAGATAAAACCATGAATTGAGCCTTAGTGATTTCCTTCGGAGATCACTACAGATGAGGTTCTGAACTCTTAAGGCATATCTCTTAGAACAACAGTACATGATTGGTAATCCAAGTGACACTGTTCAGTGAAAAGAAACACTGGCAAAGCAAAATTACCACCAACTCTACGTCTTTTCTACACAAAATCAAACATGGAAATAGAACGTGAATGCATCCTCTTAAAACATGATCCCAGTGGATGGTGAGATGGCTCGATGGGTAAAAGTACTTTTGGAGAAGTCCAATGACCTCAGCTCAACTCCCAGAACCCAAGAACATGAAAGAAGAGAGCCAACTCCAAAAAGTTATCTTCTGACCTCCGTGTGTGCTGAGGCTTATGTGTGGCCTACACACACACACACACACACACACACACACACACACACACACACACTTTGTAAATGTGTAAACGTAAGTCTTTTTAGAAAGCCATGTAAGTAGGCAGAAAATGGCCTATTAGAGAAGAGAAAGGAAGCCATAGAAGGGAAAGGGGGACAGAGGTGAGACCAGATGAGGGATTGTGGTTTTCAGTTAAGGCTACTCGTCGTGATCTTCGCTCTCATTTGCAAAAATCTCAACCAAGATTTAATGAGGATTTAATTCACCTGGACAAGAGTGCGCATAGATGCCAAACACTCTTGACAGGCATTGCCAGCCTCCAGTCACCTCCCTCTTTGCCCTGGCCTGACTTTCCCCTTCAGTTCACACAGGCTTCCTCCAAACAGGACACCAGAGTAAATGTCTGTGTTTTTAGTCCCTCTCCTGATGGTCTCAAATGATAATGCCATTAGAGCATAAAAAGGAAAGCTCTTGTCAAGGTAATACCACTTGGTGTTCTCATTATTAGACCTATGTATTTTTACAAACAGAAAACACCATTTCCAGAACAGCAAAACAGACCATAATGTAATCACACTGGAGATTCTTCTATCTTTCCAGACACTTAAGAACAAAATCACAGAAATGCTGAATGGATGTCTAGAAATACTGGATGCCCCTCCAAGGCTGAGTAACTTTCTGAGTTGTCATGTAGGCTCTGGATTTGGGTGAGTTTTGTCTCAATTCAGTTTAACCTTGTAAACAGCCTTATCTTCCACGTCCAATCTTTTCACCAAGCACTGGACCTGGTTCACATCCATTCCTGCCACCCTTCCCTCCCTTAGGAGGGAAGAAAACTACCCCATCTGCTCCCTACACTGTTCACCTCTACTCTAGGACTCATCTACTTCACCCTCTAGCTATCCTCAGGCCAAAACAATTTACTCTTGGCACTATAGAATACAGCCAGTTTTTAAATCTGAAGCAAGTTCCCTTTCAATTACCATGTCCTTTCAAAATAGTTCATATTTGTTTCCATGTTCTTTTCTCAGAAAATGGATCATGCTTGATTTCTCTCATCTCCATCCTGGGCTTTATGTCTGGCTTCATCTTTCCTCTTTGGAGAAAAAAATGCACTGGCTTTCTTTGCCACCACATTGCATCTAGGGTAAACATTAGAAGCAAATTGTTGTTTTCACTGGCAAACATCAAAATTAACAGCTGTTTTGCAGAAGTCCTTAGTAACCATTGAGGAAAAGAGAGATTGTTTTCTGTTATTTACAGAGTTGTTTTTCTGAAGAAGATTTTCAGCTCTGCATGGTTTTGGTCGCAAGACTGTCCTGGCACACTTGGACATCTCGAGTTACTGGCTTCTGCAAACAGTACACACTAAAGACTAAAGGGGCAGGGGTGTGGTGCTTTCCTCCAGGAAGACATACATTAGAGCAGGGACTTTGATATGCAGAACTTGTGGGATCCAAAACCAACTTCTATGTAACAATCAAGAAATGAGCCTTTGCATGACTGTTCAAGGTTCAGTTCATCAGAGGCTGGACCTACCTGCTGCAGAGAGCCTAAAATTCATCTTGGAGTGACCCTTTTCCTTCAATGGACCCATGCAAAACTCAGCACTGACGAAAGAATGAATCGCCTCCTGTGAAGTCCTCCCAGCCTTCCACATCAGTCCTTCACTCTTTTCCCAAACAAGAGAAAATCAGTATTGTAAGTCTTTCCTCTGTTGAGAGTATCCTTACAGATATGTTGCCTTTATACTCTCTGTAAGCATTTCGACAGATTGGATTGGATGGATTATGGCCCTTGTGAGCCAAAGAGTACTGAGTCTTACAGCTCAGATGGAAAGGTATTCTGGCACCTCAGAACCAAGGAATACCACAGGTCACAGTAAGCATAGCTGCTTCAGGGAAAGGCCTCCCTAGTGTATCAGCTCTGCTCCGGCAGGATAGGGTTTCCCCTGCAAAGCTGTTACAGTTCAGCTCGGCCGCCTCTGCTCCTGGGAAGAGAGATTTATTGGGAGGGAAGAATCCAGGAGAGTGGCTGCCTCAGGGTGGCAGAGGACAGGCAGGCAGCCCGAACAAACAGAAACTAACAGGCAC